TAAATGCTCAAATGAAGCACAATAGATGCACTGCCAGTCATCAATGCGTTGGCACTGTTGAACAGGGTCTGACTCAGCTGTGAAAACCAGCTTGAATTCCAAACTTATGAAAGGAGCAGCTGAATTAACGGCAGTCGGGAAAGCAGGCTTCACCCCATCTTAAAGCTTTCACAATTAAGAAACGCAGGATGAACTAAATTTTGACCTCATCTGAGGCGTATGTAGACAGGGACCAATTGAAAACAAGCAAACACTGAACAAGAAACCCTGTACAGTCCCCACTCTCCCAAGAAAAAAACTCTGGGCTGGGAGAAGTTTTACCAATAGGTGGAGTCGGCGTGGGCGGCGTAGGCTCGGAGGTAGCACTGGGTGTTGCAGGATTGAGGCTCTGCAGACTACAGTTTCTCTTCCGAATGTCTCTGTTGTGTCTGCTTGGCCAGAGTGTTCTTCTCTCATGGTTTTTAAGTGTTTGGCTCACATGCAGATCACACTCGGGAGGCAAAGGCAGTTTTAAGGGTTTTATTAAAAAAAGAAACAGACTGATGAAGCAGAAGGTATCTCCACGGAAAGGAAGTACAGAGGCAGGACGCGTAACCGGAGCCTGTTTGATCTATGGGTGAGACAGATGGTTAGCCTGTTGTGGTTAGGAAGGACACATGATTCAGAAGGGGCGAGAGAGAGAGAGAGAGAGAGAGAGAGAGAGAGAGCATGTTCCACTAAGCACCGGAGCGAAGCAGAGGTGGCTATCTTTGATGACTGAGGTGACTGAGTGGCTGATGGGTGGACCAGAGTAGTGGAGCGGGGCCCGAGGAGCATGGGTAGTGGAAGCAGTTTTCCTTGTTAAGCTGGAGAAACCAAGGGAGAACCGGAGGAGTCCTTAGCCCGGCTTGGGAACACCAAGGGGACCTTGAAGTGGAATCCCAGAAGGAAGCTGGGGTAAGCGATAGAACACGCAGCAATGCTTGAAGCGGGATCCAAGGCAAGAGGCAACCACACTAGGTTATTACTCTGGCGTCCTCCAGCTGTCACATCGCTGCTTTAATGCTCCAGAGCAACGCTGTCGAATGAGCCCAACCGCTCACCTGCCAAACACAGTCACCTGCGAAGAAGAGAGAGAGCACAGAAGGCAAGGTTGGCAGAAAACTACTAGCGCTGGATGCTGGGTCTTGACACATTCCAAAAAAGAGAACCTTGCAACAAAAAAACATTATAATGTTCTAAATTAGTTGCTGGTGAAGATTCTCAGAAGATTCTAAATCAGTTCCTAAACTTAACTGGATATTAACCTTCATAATTAGTTTTTTCACATTATTTGTTTTTCTGAAAAATTAGCCAATTTTGAGTCAGACTAATTGTACAGTCCTGTTAGGTATGTCTAAAAGGCGTGGGGGTTTATTTTGTAACACTGCTGCCTTTCATCATGAAGATTACAAGTCTTATCCCAGACTGAGGGCTATCTGTACTGAATAGAGAGTAGATGTTACCAAATATTCTTTGTGTTTCCTAGTGTTAGGATCTGGAGGTTTGTCCACTTTCTCCACCAGAGGGCGCACAAGATCTCCTGGAGCATGAGCCTACCGCACCACCTGTCTCTCATCTGCTCATCAGGAGATCCGTACTTAAGGAGGCGGAGGGCTTCACTCCAGTGCCAGAGTGTTTGCCAGTAACGGTTAGCAAGCCTGAGCCAACAACCCAGTCTCATGGGAAAATGTACCCCCACTACGTTGGTCCACACTGCAAAACGTAGTGGAGGTACATTAATGGCCATTTTTTTGTGGTACTGTTACGTTTCTTCTGCCTATACGCTTTCTATGTTTTACGTCCTAGTCACGTGACTTTCAAGATTCCAGCTGGGAGAAGAAAATAAATATATATAGATGGCCGACATTCGCTCATTTTTTTGTGTAAAGATTAATAACTTGAGTTTGTTTTTGCATTAAAATGAGTTTTGATTACATTTCTAGTGAGAAATGTATAGTTTGTTGCCAGAATATTTACTCAGGGAATGTACATATTCACTTGCTTGTTCGTTTCTTGCAAAGATTTTTCAAGATAATGTGAAACTGTAACATTTTGGTATAAACATGGCTGAGATTTCTCTAACTTTTAGTGGGAAAATCAATAATTTCAATCAGTTTCTGCATTTAAATGGGTTTTGATTACATTTATAGCGAGAAGTGTAGGGTTTATTTACATAATATTTACTTAGTGAACATACATAATCACCCGCTTGCTAGTTTTTGCTACGTTTTTCGGATCTCGTCAGGATTATGTGAAATTGCAACGTTTTGGCTGCTACCCATCGCCTAGCATTTAGCTGCCACCCCGATTCAACATTGAATCCTTTGTGATTTAACTCCATCTGACGGATCAAACCCTCGCCACTGCGTGCGTTGCGTCTGAGGTTGATTTTCAGATCAATGCATTACGTCGTGGCATACGGGAGAAACTAATTAAACTAGTTAAAAAAAAGGATCATGGGTTAAGATCGGATGTGTTTTATTTGGAAATCTACCGGATCCTTTGTGCATTTAACTTCCTGTTTGGTGCGATCTCATTGATGGGTTTTGACCAGATTTTGACCAAAGAGGAACTAAAAAAAAAACAAAAAAACAATTTAAATACACAACCAGCATATCTGGAATCAATGACAGAGAGCATACATAATCACCCGCTTGCTAGTTTTTTGCTACGGTTTTTTGGATCTTGTCAGGATTATGTGAAATTGCAACGTTTTGGCTGCTACCCATCGCCTAGCATTTAGCTGCCGCCCCGATTCAACATTGAATTCTTTGTGATTTAACTCCATCTGACGGATCAAACCCTCGCCACTGCGTGCGTTGCGTCTGAGGTTGATTTTCAGATCAATGCATTACGTCGTGGCATACGGGAGAAACTAATTAAACTAGTTAAAAAAAGGATCATGGGTTAAGATCGGATGTGTTTTATTTGGAAATCTACCGGATCATTTGTGCAATTAACTTCCTGTTTGGTGCGATCTCATTGATGGGTTTTGACCAGATTTTGACCAAAGAGGAACTAAAAAAAACAAAAAACTATTTGAATACACAACCAGCATATCTGGAATCAGTGACAGAGAGCGACTGGGACCAGAAGTTTATTAATTTCTCCCCACTGATTTCCATTCAAAATGTTTTCGATCCCACCGGGGTCTAGGGAAGGGGCGGGCATACCGCCACCTACTGTTCATGAGTGTGTAGCAACATTGTTTTACATCTATTAAATTCTATTTTTTTATTTTGTATTCTGAACATAAATAAATAATGCTTTCCTTAATCTATAAATATCTTTTATATTTCCTTTATTTCCCAATAATCCTTTAAGACTCCATTCTTGGCCTGTCCTCTTTTCAATTTCTTCCTTTCAGGTCCAGATGTTTTACAGTTCATCAATACGTGTTCTATATTTTCTATCTCTACACATCCTTCACATTTATCATTATTTTTCCTCCCTATTAAGTATAAATTGTCATTTAAATAAGTATGACCTACTCTTAATCTGATCATTATTATTTCTTCCCTTCGGTTTCTCTCATTAATATTTCTATTTAATACTGACTTTTGTACTTTATATAACCTTCTTCATTTTTATCTTCATTCCACCTTTTTTTGTTGTTGCCATTTTTCAATTTCTTTCCTCTTAATAAATGATTTTCCTTTCCCTAAAGGAATTGTAATTGTTATTGCCTCCTCTAATTGCTAATTTGTCTACTACTACTACATTTTCCCACTTTGACCTTTTAAGGTTAGCATATTGACCAAAAGCTGACACCAAAAATAAAGCAATCGATTATGTACAACAATATGCTACATTTAATGAAGACTAATACAGATTTTACTCTCTTATAAGAATTAGTTTTAGGTTTTATAGGGGAGAGTTTGTATCGGCAGTCATCTGGGAATCTTTTATGTATTTACTGGTAAAGAACAACCTCTCAACCCATTTAATGTAAATGTTGCGTCGAACCAGAAAGTTATTTGAAGAGCATAGATGCATAAATATATGCATAGCTTTAACAAGGTCTGTTCTGTTATTCTCTTTTGGAGAATATAGACATTGTGGGCATTCATTTCCCTGATAAGCTGGTGAAGATTCTTAGACATCCAGGTCATAATCATTCCAAAAAACAAAACAAAAACAAAACAAACTTTGGACTTTGTTTTTCAAGTTTGAAGACTTCCCATTCAGGACGTTTTTCAATTCAAAATTACAGTAGCCCAACAAATCCTTGTTTTGGCTAAGAAAATATGCAAATTGAACCTGATGCCTGATCCCAATAGCTTGACTCTGAACCGAATTTGATCCCTATTTTTTTTTGGGCCACATGCACATTATTGTGCTGCCTGGTCAACCCTATGAAAATGTTCTGGAACTGCCACTGAACTGACACCCAATGCATGGAGGGTAACCCAAAAAGGGCCATTGTTAGAGAAACTGGGTGCCTACAAAGTGCTAATTAATGGAAAGTTAGGTGGAATGAAAAGTAGACAAATAACAATTACAATTCCTTTAGGGAAATGGGAAGGAAAATCATTTATTAAGAGGAAAGAAATTGAAAAATGGCAAAAAAAAAAAAAAGGTGGAATGAAGATAAAAATGAAGAATTTAATTAGGAGTCTTTGTCCTTCTCTGAGGACAAACAGTAATAATAACAATACATCTCAAGAGCCACTCTGATAAAGAGAACATGTCTACAATCCTGAGGTGAAGATTCAGCACAAGGGAAACTTGAAGATGCAGACAACCTCAGGCATCTGCAGCTTGCATTACATACTCAGACTGCTCAAATTTTAGTTGACATTTCCTTTTTCGGGAAACAGTTGGGAGCTCCATCTAATGACTTATACAAGATCCAGCCTGAAAATTAGGTAACCATTTAGGTAATAAAGGCAACAATATCACCTCCCACAGTCAGTCAATCCAAAAGACTCTCACCAGATCATTTCACACTTAGCAGGATGGCAGACTGTTCTTCGATAATGTGCCATAACCAAGGAAAGACAACTTCACAAGGTGCTAAGGAGCGCAGCAAGTGGGGAACCAAGAAAGAGTTCATCTTGAGTGTGGCAGGTGCTATTATTGGACTTGGCAATGTGTGGAGATTTCCTTATCTTTGCTACAAGAATGGTGGGGGTGAGTAATTTTACAGGTTTTGTTCTTGATTAAAGAGATCGCTCCAGCAGATAGGTTTTTGAGCGACATACTCACTGTAAAATAAGTAAAATGGTTACTGGTGACTATAGATTTATATATCTATATATAAGGGGCCCTTATATATAGATATATAAATCTATAGTCGCCCTTATTAAGGGCGTAACTTTGTAATGAAAGTTGGTGGGGGCACTTAGGGTGTCGGCTGATGGACCTACAGTTACTTCACACATACGCTTTCAATAGGGTTTGCTTTTTCCAAAAATGAACTCAACCAAAATACATTGATATTTATATTTATAGGTAGTTAGACATTAATGTATATATATATAAAAAAGGACGAACAACAGCCGATTCTAATACAAACAGCATTACATCATGCCTTCCTAGTATGGAAACAATATCAGTTTCATTCAACAATCCATCTAGAAAAATGTGGATTGATGGATGTTTTCCCTTTCAGCTACTTCAGTGATAATCCCCCTTCAAAAGCAGCAAGCAGCAAGATCAAATTTAGAGCTGTTGTTGAGAGCCAAAGTCTATGTATTGAAATCATTGGTGGGGACATGTCCACAGCAGTTCTTCAGAAAGTTACGCCCGTGCGTGCATGTGCATATATATATATATATATATCTCAGAGGTCTAAAGTAACGAAGTACAAATACTTTGTTACTGTAAGTACACTTTTGGTATCTATACTTTACTCCATAATTTTTTTTCTTCCTACTTCTGACTTCTTCTCATTACATTTTCACACAAGTATCTGTACTTTCTATTACCTACATTTTTAAAACAAACGTTACGTGTTACTCTTGGCTTAATGCAGACCCACCTGTTGGCTAATCCCATATCCCCCGTCTCCACCCGCTGCGCTCCAGACCTCGTGCGCAAAGCAAAGCCTACATCCTCCACGGTTCATCCCGTCCTGCTGCGCTCCGACTTACCCTCGGAGTTTGAGGAGAGCATGTGCGATATTATTAAATTCTTAGGAGCAAAACATGCAGAAATGAACGCTTAATATAATATGACGCATTTAAATAATCCCCATCAGCATCCAGCATATGCGCCGTTACTCCCCAAGTATTTTCTTTTTGTTGTGGATTTTTGTAACAGGAATAACCAGGATCAGACAAAACTGCCTTTTTGCTCTAATTTGTAGTTACTGATCTGTTGTTACTATATTTTAATTTGACAAACCGGATCTTCTCGCCGTTCTTTTTCCTGTTTGGTGCGATTGCAATAGTTGATCTTGACCTGGCCGGACCGGAGCGGAGCGGAGCCTGAACATTTCAATGGTTTTGGCTCAACCTGCTGCTGTGAAGCAGGATTCTCCACCATAAACAGAATCAAAAATAAATATGGATCCAGCCTCAAAATGAGCACCTTGATATGTGCTTTTTCTCCATTCAAACCCAGGTTTAAAGCCTTGCAGGGCAGCCTAAATCCCACTTCCCTCATTAGACAGAAAAAAAAAAAGAAAAATAACAAACTCTCAGTTCAGGTGTCTTATAAAATATGTGTGTCAGGAAAATGCTTATATATCAAACTGAAAGATTGTTGTTCTCTTCTTCAAACATTTTTTAAAAATATATGTTCTATTTAAAAATTCAATGTATAACATGATTGCATAAACACCTCATTTTATTTCAGTGTTAAATTCTGTTTAAAGTAACAGATCATCAAAAATGTCTCCGGACCTTTACTAGTTGTGTCATGATGGGTTAAAGCTGAAGTCTGTAATTTTTAAAAAAATCACTTTTTTGTCATATTGGCTAAAACTGTCCCTATGCCCAGACAGCAGTACATGTGATATGTAACCTGTGAAAAAAAACAGCTTCAATTGGTCTCGCATACTGCCTGTATTTCAATCTGGAAAGAATAATTCGGGACGAGTCAAAACAACCAATCACAGCCAGAGGAGCGTCTGATGGAGTGTCAATCACAGCTCACACATGCTGAATCCCGTCAGGAGGACGCGCGTGGAAGTCATGGCGGAGCGACAGCCACCAGCGAAAGAGAAACTGCCCTTACTGCCCCTGCCGACAACTGCTTACACGGCAAACTTCGGTATAACCAGCATCTTATATCTATCTGCTTGGAGGTGAGTGTTATCGCTCTTACCAGTTCACACTCCATGCCTTCTGGTCACATGTGGTAGCCGCACAGATGCTGTGAGAGGGGTGGAGCTTGGAGGTGGGGCATGAGTGAAGTCGAGAGGGTGGGGGAGTGGCGTGAAACCTGTTTTTCTTCAAATTTTCAGTCGAAGTCTGCTCTCTTCTCAATGTTACAGACTGCAGCTTTAAGGTGCCTAGCCCATATGCAGATATCACTCATGAGAAAGGGAAAAACTTCAAAGGTTTATTCACAAAAATGTATTATATAGACTCAGGTCCTGGGTTCTGGCAGGCTGGTCACAAGAGAGTTCTCCACTGTTCAGGGGTGGAGCGGATCTGCTGAGGGGGGTACCTTGAGGGTCCAGAGGCGAGTTGGCAGGCAGAGGGCTGAGGGCTAGCAGAGATTGAGCTGAGTGCAGGCAGGAGGAGTACAGAGAGCTTGGCAGAGGCAGACTGAGTCCAGGCAGGCAGATTCCAGGTTGGGTTCTCTCTGAGGGCTGACAGGCAGCTTCCAGACAGAGACTACCCTTCAAAGAATCACTGAAAGCAGGCAGACAGAATCCTGGCAGCGACAACTCTCCAGGTTCTCAGATTTACCGGCTGAGATCAATCTGTGAGACAGAGAGAAACAGGATCAGGCTTGTTCACAAAAGTCAGAAGATACAGACAGGCTGATTGGCTCAGGCTTTGCTAACCATAACTGGCAAACACTCTGGCGCTGGAGTGTAGCTCTCCGCCTCCTTAAGTAGGGACCTCTTGATGAGCAGATGGAAAACAGGTGTTGCAGGTGAGCACAAGCCCTCAGGAAGGGATCCTTGGCGCCCTCTGGTGGGCAAGCCTCCGGATCCCAACAGAGCCCCCCCCTCAAGGGCGGATTCCAGACGCCCCCAGAAACTGGCCTCTGAAGCTAAGGACGCTGGATTGCTAACGGGTGCTGAAGCTTGATCTGGCTGGCGGGGAGCTGAATGAGGTGGCAGGAAAGGGAAGAGATCTTCCTTCTCCCCATAAAAGAAACTCCAGAGGTCTGACTCATGGATGTGGGGAGCTCTGACTGCTTGGGGTGTGACTAGTGGGCCTAATTTGAGTTTCTTGGTGGATGGTGCTAACTGTCGATCGAAAATGTGTTTACAAAAACGGGATGAACTAACCTGGTGATGATGGGAACTGGAGTCCTGAACCGGAAGCTGAACCGCTTTGGATCTGGCTCGCAGCCTATTATCTAGGCGGATAGTAAGATTTATTAGTTCCTCCAAAGTTCTAGGTTCATCGAGAGTGGCCAACTCGTCCTTAATAGACTTATCAAGAGAGTGAAAATAAGCGCTTTTAAGCGCCGATTTGTTCCAACCGGAAGCAGCCGCCTTAACCCGGAAGTCTATAGAGAAATCAGCCACTGTTCTGTTACCTTGCTTTAATTCCAGCAGTCCACGGGATTCAGTGGACATGTCAGGGTATTGATTGAATGTTTGTTTAAATTCCTTAATGAATTCCTCAAAAGTACAACCAAAACTGATTTCAGAAGGGAATTGGGCTTCCGCCCATTCCAGGGCCTTTCCGGATAATAGGGACAAAATGAAAGAAATCCTCTCCTTATCTTCAGAATAACACTGAGGTGAAAAATTAAAAATAATTTGACACTGGAACAAAAATCCTCTGCACTTACTTGGGTCTCCTGCAAATCTTTCAGGGAGAGATGGGCTGAATTCAGGAAATGACGGGCTGAGTTCTGACCTGAGTGGTGGATTGGCTCCCTGAACCGGAAGTTGAACGGTCTCAGTCTCAGGTGTGGCGCTCTGGAAACACTGGGTAATTTCCTGCAGGGTGCGGTTGGTTTCAGCTTGACGGATGTTTAACTCACGGGGGGGCGGAATCATGGCTCTGAATGTGGACTGGCTGTTGATCCAACATTCTCCTGAGCGACTCCGCAGGGCTAGTTTGTTGGCCAGAGTGTTCTGTCATGATGGGTTAAGGTGCCTAACCCATATGCAGAGATCACTCATGAGACAGGGAAGAACTTCAAAGGTTTATTCACAAAAATGTATTATATAGACTCAGGTCCTGGGTTCTGGCAGGCTGGTCACAAGAGAGTTCTCCACTGTTCAGGGGTGGAGCGGATCTGCTGAGGGGGGTACCTTGAGGGTCCAGAGGCGAGGTGGCAGACAGAGGGCTGAGGGCTAGCAGAGATTGAGCTGAGTGCAGGCAGGAGGAGTACAGAGAGCTTGGCAGAGGCAGACTGAGGCAGACAAAAAAACAAACATGAAACCAGGAGTCCAAAAATCAAAAAATTCAAAACATGAAAAAATAAGAAGAAAACAAACCAGAAAACCATGGAGACATCAGGGAATCAAACTCAACGAGAAAGGCTCAGAGAGACGAAGTGGAGGGAGACTGAAGAGGTTTGACGAGGACCCAGCACTGAAGAACTAAACAGGGAGGGTATTTAAAGGAGACCTAAACAAAGAGAGGACTAACGACCAGATTGGGACCAGGTGTGCATCGAGCAGAGCAGAAAAGGAGCTAAGGAAAAAGGACAACAGAAGAGGGTAGCAGAGGGCAACAAATAAGAACCTGAAAATAACCAGAAAACACATCAAAATAAGAATGAAACCACTTACACTATAAAACATTGAGCAAAGTAAAACTGAATACTCAAAAGAAAAACATAACAGAGCCAAAACTGAAACAGTAACTAAGAATTAATCAGAGAACACAACAAAATAAAAATGAAACTACTAAAAACTAGAAAACAAGGAGTAAAGCAAAACTGAACACTGGGAGAAAACATAAAGGAACCAAGACTAAGACAGTAACTGAGAAAAAAAACAACACAATAAACTAAGAATTAACCCACTAAAAGTAGAAAAGAAGGAG